ATGGTTAATAAAGGTTAAATAAAAGTTAATAAAGGTTAAATAATGGTAATAAAGGTTAAATAAAAGTTAATAAAGGTTAAATAATGGTAATAAAGGTTAATAAATGTTAAATAAAGGTTTATTGGTTAATAAAGGTTAAATAATGGTTAATAAAGATTAATAAATGTTAAATAAAGGTTAAACAATGGTTAATAAAGGTTAAAGGTTAATAATGATTAATAAAGGTTAAATAAAGTTAATAAAGGTTAATAATTAACAATGATTACAGGGATTAACAGTGATTTTGAGAGCTGGAAGCACGAGCCAAATCTTCACACAGGGTCGTCAGCGTGTCTGCCGCCATCTTCAGTAACAGATAACATCGATATCCATCGGTGCCAAAAAGCAGAACCCCTGCTGTCATGATTCTAACGATATAAACATCTTTGGTGTCCTCCTGAGACAATACGGAAAGACACATCAGTTTTCAATCCATGACGTACCCTGCTGCGTGCGTCTCAGTGGGACATGAGGGTTCTCCAGGACCCTGTTGCTTTGTTGAAAATATTTTATCAATTACATTGTAAGTCCAGCTGACCAGATCCATGACAGTAGTTTTTGTTTCAGAAAGTGTATAAATAGAAGCTCCGATACTCAAGACAGAGAGTAAAAAGCAGGAGGAGGACGGGGCAGGGAAGAAGGACGTCCGTCTTGCATGAGAGCGAGTGAGGAAAGAGTCCATGGGGCTTTGATTCCACCAGCAGTGTCATATTGAAGTGTCCCTGGTCAGACGTGTGTCCCATGTGTGAATGTGATAAAGCTCTGATTAGAGTTTGTATGGATCTAGCAGAGTGCTGTGTGAAAGGGTAAGTGAGGGCACAGGTGGTGTTGTAAAGAGCTTTGAGCATCCTGAGCAGATAGAAAGAGTCTACATAAGTGCAGTCCATGTACCAGTTAATGTCAGTTCATTAAAAACAACAGGGCAGTTTTATTCCCTGAAAAATAAAGAAGAGACAGCAAATATATTTTATTAAATGTTCATTCAACCTTTATTTCTACAGGTTAATCCCATTGAGCCTCAGGGACTCATTTACAAGAGAGACCTGATTTTAACAGTGATGACAACAGTGGACAGTCATAAGAGGCATATAGATTTTATTTTATTTTTTTTACAAATTAAAATGGCAACCAAAGGAACAATCAAAAGGACAAAATAGCAAACCCCCCCCCCCCAGGCGGTGTAGAAAACTAAAAACATTGTAAATGTAAAAGTTGTTTGTTTGTAGCCTGGCAGGTCACCTGATCGAGTGCGGCGCTCAGAGCACCGGGGGGATCTTTACCGACTGGCACCAAGTCCCCGACTGGTGAGAAGTCCAGCTAACCTTACAGATGTTCCCACATCAGCACCGCCTACAGATGAACAGCAACAAAAGGTGTAAACAGGAAACTAGAACTTGGTGTCGGTTGAGACAATCAAATGTTTTCAAAGAACAACACAGGACACGCTTCACTTTATTTTATTTCATTCTGCTTGACTGACGACGAAACCAAACACTTCAAACCATAACAACTTCAAACATTTATTAACCATGAACTAATCATGAATTAATGATTAATTAATCATAATGTGACTATGAAGTTACCATGAACTAACCATGAGCTTAAAATGAAGTAAGAACTAATGATTAATTAATCATGATCTCATCATGAAGTTACCATGAAGGAATCATGAACTAATAATGAAGAAGTCATGAACTAATAATGA